ATTGTGATGGGATGAAGCTCTTCCTAGCGAAGTTAATGAAGTATGGCTAAGATTTCGATCAGAATTACCATTTGTGAATAATATTGAAATACCTCGTCATGTGAGTTGTGTAAATATTGATAAGTGTGAGTTGCATGGTTTTTCCGACGCAAGCGATCAGGCATATGGCGGTGTCGTATATGTTAGATCCATTGATAGAGAGGGAAATACTACGGTTCGTTTGTTGTGTGCCAAAAGCAAAGTTAGTCCTTTGAAATCGTTAACAACGCCGCGTTTGGAATTATGTGGAGCGTTGATATTAGCAAGGTTAGCGAACAAGGTGATCAACTCACTGCGGTTGAATGTTTCTCGTTCTGTGTTTTGGTCGGATTCGACTATAGTGTTGGGATGGTTGAAAACACCTCCAAACTTGCTTAAGACATTTGTCAGTAGCCGTGTTTCCGAAATACAGAGTTTAACTGAGGGTCAAGAGTGGAGGCATGTATCGACTAAGCAAAATCCTGCTGATATCTTGTCTAGGGGCATTTTTCCTAAGCAGATAGTGGATTCGGAGTTGTGATGGAATGGTCCTCTGTTTTTAAGGCAGAATGATAGTCAATGGCCCGAATCCATCGTCAAGGTAGACACCTTACCTTCGCCCAATCAAGAGATTGTTTTCGTTTTTCTCGGCAGAATTCAATTCGTTTTTATTCAATGAGTATTCAGATTTTTCCAAGTTGGTTCGAGTAGTTGCATGGCTACTGAGATTTTGGTCAAACTGCAGGAACAAGATAAATAAAATCAGCGTCATGAAGGGTAATCTTTCAACATCAGAGCTTCAGAATTCCTCTTAATGTTTGGTTAAATTATCGCAAAGGGAGAGTTTCCCTGATGAATATACGTGTTTGGAAGAGGGCAAAATTCTAAGCTCTAAAAGTAAAATTCTCAGTTTGAACCCGTTCCTTGACAGTAATGCTGTTATTCGTGTAGGTGGAAGATTGCGACACTCAAGTTTTAAGCCTGATAAGAAACATCCTATGCTAATTTATGGAAAACATAGAATCTCAAAATTGATTTGCGAAGATGAGCATGACCGCTTGTTCCACGCTGGTCCCCAGCTGTTATTGTCTTCCATTAGATCTAGGTACTGGCCCACGGGAGCTAGAAATCTCGTGAGGGCAACAGTACGAAATTGTGTGAAATGTTGTCGCTTCCGACCTCAAAATATACAACCTATAATGGGTGATTTACCCGCTAATCGCTTGGTGTCGGGTCATGTGTTTAATATAGTCGGTGTCGATTATATTGGTCCGATTCTGATAAAGGATAAAAAAGGGCGCGGTGCCAAGCTATATAAATGTTACGTGAGTTTTGCGACAAAGGCATTACATTTGGAGGTTGTAACTGATCTAACTTCTGATGCCTTTTTATCAGCATTTCGGAGATTCGTTGCTCGTAGAGGTAAGCCCAGTCACATATATTCGGATAACGGTTTGAATTTAATAGGAGCTAATCGTGAGCTCAAAGAATTGGGTATGTATTTGCGAAATAATCATGAAAACTTATCAGAAGTGTATAGCCGTAATATAGGGGTTGAGTGGCACTTCATACCCGCTCAATCGCCTCATTTTGGAGGGTTGTGGGAAGCGGGCGTGAAGTCCGCAAAATTTCACTTGAAAAGGGTAATGGGTAATGCGCACTTAACTTATGAGGACTTGAGTACTCTGGTGGCACAAATTGAATCTATTTTGAATTCCCGCCCCCTTACCCCAATCTCATCCGATCCTGAAGATTACAATCCTCTCACTCCCGCCCACTTTTTAATTGGGAAAACCCTGGTGGATTTGCCTGATCCAGATGTACAGCACATACCTGAATCCAGACTTAAAGTATTCCAGCGCATCCAGCAAATTAAACAACATTTTTGGCGCCGCTGGAATAAAGAATATGTGACAGAGCTGCAACAGAGAGTGAAGTGGAAGCAGACTCAGTCTGAAGTTCAGCTGGGCAGCTTAATTCTCATCAAAGAAGATAATACTCCTCCCTTGAGATGGCGTTTGGGGAGAATTATCAATATATATATCCCGGCAAGGACATGGTGAATCGAGTGGCAGAAATTAAAACTGCAAGCGGTGTGGTGAGGCGTTCGTTTTCCAAGATCTGTCCGCTTCCCATCGACGTTAAATCTAGTATAATATGATGCTTCAAGGCGGGTGGCATGTTGAGAATTCACTCTCTTTACCCGACATTCCCCTACTACGACTCTGTGCTAAGACGCAGAATAGAGAAGAGAGAGATGGCGAGTATCGGCGCCAAGAGGGCGCGGTAGCTGGTGCCTGGCACCACCTCTACGAAGAAAGTAGGTCAAGCTTCAAAGGGCAGAAGCTAGACGAACGTCGAAAGAAGAACAGCGCTTCGTTTCTAATGCATTTTTATTTTTTTTGATTTTCTCGAGTTCGTCAAAATTTGTGTAATTGTTTCATTTCCGTAATATTGTAAGAATAAAGTTTATTTTTGGAGTTTAATTATTTTGGATTTAATAACCAACAAAAAAGGAAAACAAAATATACAGTCCACTGGTGTGTTATCGAAAAACAAGTCAAAACAAAACCTGAACCCAGAAAAAATAAGAACAGATTCCAATAAAATATGTTATTTAAAAAAGTGATGTTTCTTATTTAATGAAATAACCATTTGTAAAAACATAACTTACATATAATTACTAATAAAAAGTTGTCAAACAAGAAACAATCCTTACTTCATTATTAAACCTTTGCACCTTGTGGTTACTCGAACGCATATACACCCTCCGGATCTGGAATCAGACTTGCTACGCCAAAAAGTCTTTGTTATTTTCTAGTAAGATAAGAACTGTAACATTTTCATACTTTGCTTAGTATCATCATGTCAGTTTGGTACTTAAACTGAGCAAAGTTAAAAGTCCCGCTGGTTCAAAAGATTGTGCTACGATATCCTACACAGACAAAAAACTTCAAGAAATCTCGGAAAAAATTAAAAAAGAACTGGAAGGTCAGGCGAGAAAACTTGATGAGTTACTCGGAAAAGAAGTATTTGAAAAGAGGTTTAAGCGAATAGAGTCTTCAATAAAAGATCATCAGGATAATGTTCAAAGTTTCTTAATTAGGGATCAATCGATTGAAAACGACATTAAAAACAAATTGACTATGACGGTATCTACCTTAGAAGAACAACATAAACTGTTCAATATAACGAAAAATTATATAAGTATTGATAACAAGAGAATAGTTAGAGCTGCAAATGCTATAAACGATACCGATTTAGTCACAAAAGGCCAGGTAATAAAAATGATTGATGAGAAGTTGAAGCAGCCTGCAGCACCGATACCAGTATCGAAAAAGCCAGAAAAAAAGGGGGACTAAACAACCGTTATCCCACATTTGTGTGCTTCAGTCTAGTTTAAGCTTTTGAAGTGGTGTGACCAATTGTTGAAATTCCTATCTGGAGAAAAGCAATTAGAAGTATGTAGTGCTGATGAGTTAAAAGATATACCAAGGGAGTTCTTTCTGCAATATGTTGATAGTACTACACTTTTGAATATTTGGGGAAAATTACCACTCGACAAGTGTCATTCTGAGCTACAAATAAGACTTCCTTGTTTCATTCATTATAATACGCCTGATTGGAGAACGCAAGTAGATGGCCCTCCCTCATCACAAAACAAATGGTATTTCTGTGTAAGAGCCCTAAATAGATAGTGAAACAATTTATTTATGTCGAACTTAGCCAAACCATTGGCTAAGTTCTAATTTCATCGCTCTCGCAGCAGTTGTTCAAAATATTGTCTACATACACGTACCATCAGACGTACGAAATGTGAAGGTTCAGCTGAGAACTGATACCTATTTCAATGATTTATGGATACTGCTTCATTATCGTCTTATAGATCATAAAATTACTTTCCAGACAGTGGTACCTCTTTCCAAGGATAAGTTTTATCAATATAACTTACAATTGGAATTCCAAAATAAAAGCATTCTAACAAGCTATAGGACTGAAACAAGATAGTATAGTCTGTAAAAATGGAACTAGCAGCAACTCTACCACAATAGAAAATAATGGTGTAGCCTCGAAACCTGCTGATTACTTAGCCTATATTTGCGTAATACCTGTTTCTGTAATTTTTGGAATTTTATTGTCGAGATTGATCTATGATATAGGAAAAAAACAATGTACTTTAAAATTTATTAAATAAGATTTTATCGGTGAAAAGCTGTTTTATTTAAAATTTTGAAAACATTAGAAAACGACCAAATCAAATTATGATTCTGATTTTAATTTTTCAATGAAGTTCACCCCTAAAGAAAGTAACCGCTAAATATTTTTGGTTTTTTTTGATCCACAAAATCTGAACCTTTACGAAAAATCCAATTTTTTATTAAATATCCTTATTCAATAAAATGCATTCGTGATTAGCGTCTGCATCAACATCCATCGATTGATCGCGTTACACGACCGTCACCGTTCACTTCGCGCCGGTGTATCGCGAAAAAAAAATGCTGCATTGTGATTGGTTTAGATCTAGAACCCGCAACTTACACTACTCACTCTATTAACTTGTTTTTCGATATTAAAATTTTTAATAAAGTCACTTTACCTTTTTTTCTTACTTAGCTCAAATCTTCTATAATTATCTTGATAGTTAGTCTTTATGAGCTCAAAGTATTCACAACAAGTTGTCTCGCAAATTATTTCACTCTTTATTTAGCTTTTACCTCACTAAATATATACTGACTGAACTACAAATACGCTTTATCTACAAAACCATTCAATCGAGAAATATCTGGAATCGCTATAGTGCTGTCGACTTCTGCGCACCAATGTGATTTCGTAATATTACCCAAGAATTTTATTGATTCTTCATAGTAGTCTATAAATTTATTTTTGTAAATTAACTCGTCCGCTCACTTATCTTCCATAAACTAAACCTTAGATAGTGGTCTAATTACAGGTTATGTATTGTATCCGATTCTGATTCTTACCCCTCTTGCAGCCCGTCCTCAGATAAAACGCAATCGTTGTACATGCAAAAACCCTTGACGACGTCATTGAAATTCATTTTCGTCGGATCAGGATCTCTGACTCCGTAAAGGAGCACTCGGTACCCTTCGGGAGTTGTTTTCGGAAGCCTTACCAGATACCTGAAAAAAAAAAAATTAAAAATAGATTTTTAAATTGAACGATTTTAGGTTTTCGGGGATAATACCACGAGAGCTTCAAAATTACCGATAATTTTTCACGATTGCGTGTTTTCTATAATTTCACGAGTCCGTAGGACGAGTGAAATTTGCAGAGAAAACACGCATGAGTGAAAGATTATCTGGTTCATTTTAAAGCTCAAGTGGTATTTAGAGGATTATTTCACGTATGAGAATGCAAAAAAATATGGAAATAATTATGTATTAAACGATTTAAACATCTTAACAATCAATACAAATAAATGGTTGCTATCAGGAACCGTTTGTTTGTATCAAAAATTAGCATGACAACCATGTATACAATAACATGGGTGAATTTTCGCTGTAATTCTTTCTAGTTAAACAAATGGAAAAGAGAATTTTCGCTGTAATTCTGAAAATCGTCACTTGTCTTATGGGATTTCTAACACATGAGTGGAATAATCAGAAAAATTGCAAAATTACGGTTTGGAGCACACCATATTGAGCATTTGTGAGTTCCTGCTTTATGGTAAATGATTTCACAGTTCTTGAGTACGAGTCTCCTACCGAGTATAGGTATACCCATTTTCCTTAATCGTCGAATTTAAAAACTATAAATAACTCAGCAATAATGGACTGGTTAACTATAAAAATGTACGATGCCCCGGAAAACTTCAGAATACAAAAATGAAAAATTGTATCTATATAAAAAATCTCATAACTGAGCAATTATAATGTACCAAATACATATAATAAAGAAAGCAACAAAAATCAAAGCGTTAAAAAAAAAAATCAAAAAATTGTATAATACACACCTCAACAATGATACCAAGCAGATTTTTTTTTTAAATACGCAGGTAGTACTGAAAAATGACTTTCTGACAAGACGTTGCAGCAGATTTTTTTCTTAAGTCATTTTGATTTGAGGATGTTTATAATAACCTATAAAAATATAAAAACTTATATAAATGCAGAATTTTCAAACTTTGCTTCTGCAGCAATTATAGAAACCATCAGTTAGAACAGTTTTGATTATTGAAAAGCAATATTGGGTCAATCTCTGAATGGGTTTCTAATCACCGCAAAAACATTCAGTTATCATAGAAAATCACCATGATGCTGGTTCAAATCCCACGTTTTCGGTTTATTAGCGGGTTCCACAAAATGCGGAAGCGGCTTATGCAAATTTTTAGCCAAGTTTTTCTGCACAATCTCCTTCAAAGTAATTTCCTTTTCATCCAAATCAGCATCAACAGAATTCAAATTCTCGTAAGCGATTTCCCTATCAATTTGTTCGATGGGGTTTTCGAGAGTAAAGTTAATCTTTTTCTTCCAATATGGAGGATTAACAGCAAAACTTTGCCGTAAAAGCATTTCACGCCTTTGTCTATCTTTTGTTACACATTTGTAGGTGAAACTTTTTTGATCTTGCTTACGCTGTTTCTCAATTTTTGGCATCAAAATCACATCACTTATTTTTCCAGGTCTCATTCCGTTTGTTGCCAGTACTTCCAATTTACCAATCTTCAGATTATCTAGAATATTGTTTTGGTTATTAACATTTGCTTGAACTAAAATAAGGCCTTCTTAAAAATTTGAAAATAGGGGTCAGGCAAGTACAGGCCATTGAAATAAGGCTGATAAAATTAGAACTATTGAATAATACAAAAATAAATAAATAATTTTCAAATTATCAGAAGGCCTTATGTAAACGGCCTGTACCTACGTGATAAAACATTCACAAATGACGCAAAACAGTTCTGGATATTTTTCAAACTATGATTATCGCCCATCGTATAGAGAATACTTTTGAGTTAATTTTGATTTGCGAATTCTGCGATTTCTCGACGTTTGTTTGATAAGTGTTGCGAAAAAGAATACACTATATGCCATAACAAATAAAATAATTTGATAAAAATAATTCCAAAATGTGTTGAAGACCTTTGTGATGGCTTTTAATGAATTGTCGGTGCCTAAAAATCCATAAGAAGTATTTGAGGATATTCTAAAATTCAATTTATTAGGCCAAAAGGTGACTGCAGAATCAAGTTCTATAAAAAACACAAATAATTTAATTTAACAATTTACAAGTTTACAGTAAGACATATCATAATATATTTTAAAAGAAAGTCACATAACTACCGTCAGCTTAGAAACAACAAGGAAGCGACTTACCAAGGGTTGTACCTAATACATATTTTTTTTTTGAATATGGAGATTTAGAGTTCAAAGTTTCAGTGAAATTTCCATAAGAGCATTGACTAATAAATTTTGGCTTAGGGTACTTGAGCCGGCAACGCCGCTCTAGAGTCGGGATAGCAGCCCTCGGCGCAGAGCCCAGCAGTTGATATCAGGTGGTAAGCATACCACAGGCTGCTACATGGTGGCAGCGGTTATTTTTTTCGTGTTTCAAGCAAAAAGGACCGGTAAAAATAGTACATTTGACCTATCAACTCTAGCCACTTTAGTGAAGTGCTCTCAATGCGCCGGGACAGTAACTCCGATGCTGCCAGATCCACAACAACATCGGTAGACTGTAAGATATTTTTTCTATTTTAAAGAAGGTAGACTTTTTGGATTGGTTTGTTGATTTTGTGTTCTCTTCACATTTTACAATTTATGGCTAGTGAACAGGAAAATGCTATTAGGTTGCGTGTGGACGAATTTAATCAGCAACAAGACTTGATAAATCAGTCATTAGGATTTCAGCAGCAGCAATTACTAAGTGCAGGAAACACAGCTTCGGCACCGGTGATTATGCATCAGGCCACAATTCTCGTTCCAGAGAAAATCTTTAAATCATTTCATTCAACAAAAACACAAGAAGCAGATTTCAACACTGTATTATCAAAATTTGACAGTTATTTTATCTAAAAGAAGCATCTTGTATACGAGAGGGTAAAATTTGTGCAAAGGTTACAGAACCCAGACGAGCCTTGTGACTCTTTTATTACATATCTCACCTCTATGGCCCAAAACTGTGAATGGGACAATTTAGAAAAAGAAATTATTAAATTAAGGGGTTAGCGGATAATAAATTATCAATACAGCTACAAGCACTCCCAGATGACACATTGGAAGATGTGAAAGGCGTGCCAGATTGGTTGAAACATTGCACATATGCAACAAGCAACAGTGAGAGCCAATCTCCCTACTTCCAATCCAATTGTCGAAGAAAAGCTGGAAGTTGACTACTTTCAGAGGGAGGCACGCCCAAAATTATTCAGTAAGGGCCACTCAAATTATGAGAAAAACCCAAAATCAAACACAGTGACAAAAGATTGTCGAAAATGTGGAAAAACTCCAAGGCATACATTTGTTGATTGTCCTGCAAGAAAGGATGATTGCAACAGGTGCGGAGAAACAGGGGCAATAAAGTGTAGTAGTTCAAGAAGTGAAGGAGGCTTCAGACGCGATCAGGACCGGCGAAGAATATTCGCTTTTCTGGGCTTGGTAAAGGCTGGTAGGAGGAGTGGTCCATGACATACCGTGATTTCCATGGATGGCATTCCAGTAAAAGTCAAAATTGACACTGAAGCAGATGTGGGCGTAATAAAAAGACAGTTTGTAAAATTCACCGAAAATCCTAATATCTGTCACAGAAAATACCCCTTCTAGAAAAAAATCTCAAATGGGAGGTTTTTAGTTAGGTTTTCAGTCAACGATGGCGACATTGTCGAGAGATAAAGGAAATTTGCAGGTATCTGTGGACAGTGTTGGTTGGTTTTGTCATTTATTTTGTTACTTTGAAATTCAAAATTCGAATTTTTGAATTGTGTAGTTGTACCCCACGCGCGTTAAAGTGAAAATTTAAAATTTTCTGGTTGAAAAAAACCCTAATTTTTGTTCGTATTTTTTTGTATTAATTCGTTTGTATCATTTCGTTCGTATTTATATTTATTATTTTGCGCCAGGTAGCTGCGTTTGGCTTGCTAACTCTTTAAACTCTTTCTGCATTATGTTTTACATTCGAAACTTCTCGCCAGACACAGTTTTCAAGAAAAGGAAGCCAAAAGAGCTGAAAGCCGAAAGGAGTCAGCAGCAAGCCAATTGCCTGAACATTAAAAATTATTTGAAAATATATCAAAAAATCGATTCGCCTTTTTGTCAAGAATGCTACATTAGTTGGGTTTCAAGTCAACGATGGCGTTGTAATTCATAATCGGTAGGTAACAGATACTTTTCTAGGGGTGGTATGTTCTGTGATATCTGCGTCTGGAAATAAAATCGAGGTTTTAGGCACCTTCGAACCATTCATTACATGGCAAAATCAATGTTAAGTAGGCCGTGTTTATATCGCAAATAATTTGCATGAAAATTTATTACGAAAAGACGTTGCAGAATCACTAAAGATGTTAGCTTGGACAAATGCGATCTCTGACACGAATGCTATCAGTAAGGAGTTTCCAACCCTATTCGAAAGCATCGGAGATGTAGGAGAATCGTATCACATTACTTTAAAAGAAGGAACGAAGCCGTTTGCAATTTCTACGCCACGTAGAATTCCTATCCCTTTGCGAGAAGCTACAATAGTATATTGTTGTATTAAGAGTAGAAGCTTTACTTTTTTGTGCTGAAGCGGTAGGTTTGCGAGCCGAACGTAGTGAGGCTTGCAATACTGCTGAAGCACAAAAAAGTCCTTCTACTCCGTATGCAACACGCTATTTTTTCTCCAAACGAATGGGGTAAACCCCAGGTCAAGTGAATGGTTGAGCAGCAGTAAAAGCACGAGCGGCACTAAAAGTACTTCTACTGCCGCTCCAGCGGCACTAAAAGTACTTTTGCTGCCGCTGGGGTTGCCAAGCAACATAGAAATTAAATTTTTACCACCTCGACAGGTGTTAACCCGCTGGATTTGCCAAGCAGCATAGAAATCAAATTTCTGGCATCTTGACAGGGG